TTCCAGCACCTGGTATGTCTCTCGCATCACTCACAACCTCGTTCCCCAACACACAGATGCCACATGCACCCAAGGACCATCATGCGCCACACCCAGCCTACAGCAGCGCAGCTTGGCTATGGCTGCCTGCTCCTTCCAGCTCGCCCGTGAGCGCGTGAGTGCCAGCCAGCTTCAGCGCAGCATGCAGCCAGCACCCGAATGCCCAAAGCATGGGCTCGCCCTTTCCTATATGGAAATGGCCAGCCTGCGTGCGTGCAGCCTGGCTGTGCTGGGCCTCGGCCCAGAAGCTTCCTGTAGACCTAGGGAGGCTGAGCCTCAGACCAAACGAATTGGCCCAGGGCCACCGACAGTTACTTGTGCCCAACTACCCACAGTCTGAGTTGGGCCTATGCTGCGAATATCGCCCAGGGCCTGACTCAGATGCATTTGATATCAGGGCCTGGGCGCTTCCAACCAACTGGTGCTGCGCAACTGCCTGCATTTTCTCCAGTTGCGAAGTAGTCCAAAATAGGCCTCTTAGGGTTCGTCGGGCCTGCCTTCACTTAGGGCGGCCGACGCTGTTGCAAATAGGGGCCCAGTAGGGCATATCGAGGCCTTTGCCTCGTAGAAAGCTATGGCGGGATCTTTGTCATGTTGTTTTGCGGAGGAGGAGCGGAAGAAGCAGCGGAAGCAGCAAAAGAAGGAGCGGTAGGAGGGGCGGGAGGAGCAGCAGCCGCAGGAGGAGAGGCAGGAGCGGCAGGAGGAGCGGCAGGAGGAGTGGGAGAAGGAGCGCGAGGGGAAATGGGAAGGAGCAGGAGGAGGAGCAGGAGGAGGAGCAGGAGGAGGAGTGGGAGGGGAAACGAGAAGGGGCGGAGGAGCAGGGGGAGGAGCAGGAGGAGCAGGAGGAGGAGCAGGAGGAGGAGCAGGAGGAGGAGCAGGGGGAGGAGCAGGAGGAGGAGTGGGAGGGGAAACGAGAAGGGGCGGAGGAGGCGAGGGAGGAGGAGCGGGAGCCTTTCTTTTCGTAGGAGATGGCTATGGAGGGATCTTTGTCACGTTGTTTGGCGGAGGAGGAGCGGGAAAAGGAGCGGGAGCAGCAGCAGGAGCGGGAGGAGGCGCGGGAGGAGGAGCGCGAGGAGGAGGAGCGGGAGGAGCGGGAGGAGCGGGAGAAGGAGCGCTAGGGGAAATGCGAAGGGGCGGAGGAGGCGCGGGAGGTGGAGTGGGAGAAGGAGCGGAAGGGCGAACGGGAAGGGGGTTAACGGATGCGAGGACGAGCGGGAGGACGAGCGGGAGGACGAGCGGGAGGACGAGCGGGAGGACGAGCGGGAGGACGAGCGGGAGGAAGAGCGGGAGGAGGGATGGGCGGCAAAGCAGGAGAAGGAGGAGGAGCAGGAGGAGGGGGAGGAGCAGCAGGAGGGGGAGCGAGAGAAGGAGAGGGAGGAGCAGTGAGAGGAGGAGCGGGAGGAGGAGGGGGAGCCTTTTTTGTTTTTTTTCCGTAGGAGATGGCTATGGTGGGATCTTTGTCACGTTGTTCGGCGGTGGACGAGCGGAAGGAGCGGGAGCAGCGGCAGAAGCGGGAGGAGGAACGGGAAGAGGAGTGGGAGGAGGGCGGAAGGAGGGGCGGGAGAAGGAGCGGGAGGGGAAACCGGAAGGGGCGGAGGCAGCGCGGGAGGGGGAGCGGGAGGTGGAATGGGAGGAGGAGCGGGAGGGGAAACGAAGAAGGGGTTGACGAACGTGCGGGAGTCGGGTAGGGAAAGTGGAACAAGGGAAGGGAGGAAAGGGGTGGTGGAGGAAGGGGTGGATGGGGACCCACTCTCTCTCTCTCTCTCTCTCTCTCTCTCTCTCTCTCTCTCTCTCTCTCTCTCTCTCTCTCTCTCTCTCTCTCTCT